ATAAGGTATTGAAGTGGTCAAGAAAGAGCCAGATGCAAAGGAATCTCAATTCGGACTCTCTAAGGATGATGCAGACCCAATCCACACAGAGCACCACGGGACCAAGGAAACCAGTTGCAGCTGGGGGGGTGTAAGCCCAGACAGATAACCAAGAACCGGACTGGAAGACATGTTGACGCTCTTGCCTTGTTTTGGGAAACAGCCAGAGCTTGTTGGACCTACGCCGGCCTGCCCTCTACCTAGAATGCATCATACACTCTCCAGAGAGGCAACCTGCTGATCTAAAGTTTCCCCAAGATCTATACAACAGTTTTTCTCTGTTTTCCTGAAAGCTGATTTCAAGGTCACCTCTAATAGGCACCGGCCTAGCTGAGAAAAGCTATCATTTTCCTAGATTTCTGTCCAGGATACAGCCCTGTTCTGTACCTCATCAAAGATGTTAAGGCTCACTGAAAACTTTCTCCTTTTCAAATTTTATTCAGATTTTTAACTATCTATTGAAATCATCAGTAACAATCCTAGACACATGAAGAGGAATTCAGCATTAAAACAAGTGCTACTGGGCCCGGTGGCGTGGCCTAGTGGCTAAAGTCCTTGCCTTGAACGCATTGGGATCCCATATGGGCACCAGTTCTAATCCCGGCAGCCCCACTTCCCATCCAGCTCCCTGCTTGTGGCCTGGGAAAGCAGTTGAGGATGGCCCAAAGCTTTAGGACCCTGCAACCATGTGGGAGACCTGGAAGAGGTTCCTGGATCCTGGCTTTGGATTGGCATAGCATGGGCCATTGCACTCACTTGGGGAGTGAATCATCGGACGGAAAATCTTCCTCTCTGTCTCTCCTCCTCTCTGTATAGCTGACTTTCCACTAAATAAATACATCTTTATAAATAAATAAATAAACAAACAAATAAATAAACAAAACAAGTGCTACTATGTGCTAGGATTTTCTGAGCCTCTGTCAGTGTTTGGGCATTTTCTATCCTATCTTGTGACATCATCCTACCCTGGTGACAAATACTTGCTACCACCATGGTGGACTCTAGGGGTCACAGGCTCTCCAGTCCACCTTCTCTTCCACCAGCAACTTATGGAAGAAAAAGTTACAGAGGTGTTTCTAGATCCATGCCTTTGAGGCCAAGTCTGTTGGTAACTTCTGAGACAAACGTGTTAGCTCTTTTCAGATAAGCTCCTTTCAATGTGCTGCCACAACCCGAAACAACAGATGCCCGGAGTCACACAGGACGCTTCATTCCAACAAGCCTACAGGCTGCCGGTTTGGGAGCGGAAGCCAAGAGCGGGAAATGGCGAGAGAGACGTATCCTGCCATAGTGGCAGGAGGGTGCTGTAAGGGAAGAGGGCGCGAGGAGGCCGACAGGACAAGGAGGGTAGGACAATGGTGGCAGACACGCCGCAGTATGCCTTTATGTGGTGAAGGGCGGGCATCATGGGGCCATGAGGGATTTGATTGGTGAATAGGTCTGTCCGACCACAGGGTATTGGTAGTTGTGATGGAGAGCGAGGACTAGGGGGACCAAGGGGGGAGTGGCCACAAGGGGAAAGCCATGTTACAGTGGATTGGTGGGAACAGGGTTACGGATTGGCAGACAACACAAATTTGAACCTCAAGGGCACACGAATCTTAAGAAACCCGAGAGCTAGGGGAAGCAGATATTTAAAATGGTACCAAGTCCAAAATGGCAGGGTTCTTCAGGGTCAACGTTTGAGTCGCTCCTTGCAAAATGCACATAAAGCTAAATCAGCCAAAATATGGAAGCGACTCAATGTGATTGCTGCAGTCATTTCTCAGTTGTAAAAGAAGTTAGGCGAAAGGAAACGGTAATGATGATTCGACTAGACTGCAACTCCATATCCACGGCATTAGATTTTCCAGTTTCAGTCTGAATTTTCTGTTTACAGCTTGGCTAAGTGAATGTGATAGCCAAATCTGCAAAATTTTAATTATGCGGTGCAAACACACAACTACACAAAACTGCATACCACTAATTGCTACATGTACACACGGCAGTGTTCTCCAACAACTGAAATAATGGCTCATGAAATGCCTCTTCTAACTCCAATTATTCATTTCCTTCTCCCTCTAATAGCAGTGACACTATACATTGCAGGCTGTTATTTCACTCCTCACATGAACCTTTGGCCTAGTGACTTATCCCCTGAGGCATGCTATAATCGCTGAGAAATGTTATTCCTGTCATGTCTTATTGCTTAATTACATCTCTATTTTAGGCTCCAGGAGTCATTTTACTTGGAGACTCTTACGTGTGATCTTTGAACAAGCCTCCATATTGATTATCTATGAAATCACACCATACCATTTTTTATTCTGGCTTAGGCAGTAATTGTTATTCCTTCATTTGGCAACACCCTGAAAAATTATGAGCTCATGCATTTAAACGCTTCTCTACTGAAGACAGAATTATTAACCCTTTGTCAGGAAGACCTGCCCTTAATTTCTCCAGGATTTAATGTGGCTTTGCAATGACAAATTCTGAGGAGCCCTCTATTTTAAATTGTGATACAGAAAGACTTTTTCCAATTTACTCTTGCTCCAGAGGATGCATTTTTCAACAAAAATCTGTACATATTTTCTCACATGGATTTTTTTTTGTGTTAATATTGTGTCCCAAGGCAAACATCTAGGAGAAAAAATATATATAAATATATATAAAATATAAAAATATATTTCAAATATATAAATATATAATATATATTTCAAATATATAAATATATATTTCATATATATAGAGAGAGAGAGCAGGTCCTAGATGCATTCATAGATTGCAAAACAATTGGGTAGACCATTATGATTTCTCTAAAAATGTAGGGAGTTTCCATGTTTAATGTTCTAATTATTCTTTCCATTAATAAGACATTGTCGATCTCTGGTTTAGGGATGTCAATCTTACACTCGCAATTAGACTATAAGCTTCTCAAGGACAAAAGGCACAGTTCGTACACTTCTTACATAGCTTTGTCCAAGAAGGTAGCTATCGTCATTTGGTCCACTGCAGGACACTGCATTTTCAAGACAGCTGTTTGGAATTAGTAGCTTGCAGAAAGCTGCTTGACATCAAGTAAAAGGTAGACCGCAGAACAGTGTCCTGCCTCACCTCTCCAGGGAGTCCGAGTCAGGCCTGGGGTAGATCTATGTGGAGAAGAGGTACAATTACCTGGCCCAGAGTGGCCCCAGGTCTTGTCTGGTAGACTGAGTTATATCCATCAGAATATTTAAAAATGCTGACTTGGCTCCTTTGGAATACAAAACTCAAACCATCATTTACAAAGGTCACTGGCAACAGCCTGGGTCAGAATAACTGCAGTCCATTTTGTGCCAATGCCACAGAAAGGAAGTAGCTGAATATTTAGATAAGCTCCTTGAGAGTACTGTGTTCCTACATGCAAACAAAGAATTAGCGAAGTTTAGAGCACAGTTTTCACTCTATAATTCAAATGCCAACCCAGAAATGAAATATGCTGTAGGAATTTCAATCAGAGATTTTTATCATGACTTGGAAAGCAGCTGTGCTCTCTGTGAATACAAAGGTTTGCCACCTGCAAGTGCTGTAACTCAACAGAATTACAGCGGGGTGAGGAACTTGAGAAAATTCTCAGGTTTGTATTTAAATGTAGTTTAAGAGTGTGAATTCTGCTTATCTGAAACTCACACTACCTCTGATTTGGAGAAATGGGGAAATGAGTTATCGGAATCCTTAAATTCAGCTTACCCAAGCAAAAACAGTGAGGTGAAGCAAAGCAGTTGGCACTGCAATCACTTACCACCTCGTTAAGATCCTTGATAATCTGCTGTAACCATTTGATAAGAGGCAAGAGAGAGGAACATTTCTAAAATCAATTTACTGAAGTAATCCTAACTAGTAATTCCCTTCACAGAAACGAAGAATTGGGACATTTGGGAATTTATATTATCAAAGCCTTTCAACCCTATTTGAAAAGATATAAATATGCATTATGACTATTTTAGAAAAAGCAGTGCATACGACTCTCATACCAAATTCCTCATTCATGTTCTTGTTCCTCTCACACATGGCATACAGCTGTCTTTGTAGCAAACTGATGCAATATAATTTTGTCACTTATATCATCACCTGAGCACTCAGATACCACCCTAGGAAAGCCACACAAGATAATGCTTTGCCAAAAATAATGATTTCAGTGGGTCTTTTTTAGGCATTATTTGAAAGCATTACACACACACACAGAGGCATGCACATACATCTTGAAATAAATTACAAAGCAAAATCCCATGTGGGGAAATACGGTGAACTTCATGTAAAAGATGTTTCGGGAGGGCCCAGCACAATGGCTCCGTGGCTAAATCCTCAGCTTGCAAGTGCCACCAATCCCATACGGGCATTGGTTTGTATCCCGGTGGCTCAACTTCCCATCTAGCTCCCTGCTTGTGGTCTGGGAGGGTAGTAGAGAATGGTCTAAAGCCTTCAGATCCTGCACCCGTGTGAGAGACCCAAAGAAGCTCTTGGCTCATGGCTTTGGATTGGCTTAGCTCCGGCCTTTGCAGCCATTTGGGGACTGAACCAGCAGATGGAAGACCTTTCTGGCCCTCCCTCTCCCTTTTTCTGTAAATCGGCCTTTTTAGTAAAAATAAACTTAAAAAAAAATGTATTGGAAAACAGAAAGGCAAATTTACCAGCATTTTGAAGTAAAAATAAACCAAGGGATTATATCTCTTGTCTTCAAAATATTCAACATAAAACAGAATGATTACATTAGATGATCTCTGAGGTCTCCACCAAGTCATTTCCTCCATGTTCCTCTAAGTCATATGTACCTGCACTACTGCACTGCAATAGTCAGCTATTAAATTTTCTTTAATAGAGACTCATAGAAAAGTAGGAAGCTATATCCAACTAAACAGCTACAAAAGGTATTACTCTCACACACTATTTAACAACCCATACTAAATTGCTTTAAAATATTTTTTAAAGTAAATGGAAGACCATTTTATCAATACATCAGAGTTTATTCCTTAGAAAAGTAAAGAATGTTTTGGGTAATGAAACATTCAATTTCTATGTCACTTATGAATAAAAACATAATTATATATACGCTTAGGTTTACAGAAGTTATACTTCAAATTCAAATTATATAAAAATACTCATTGATATTACCAGAATATACCCTCAAATAAACCCATTTTAAAAACTGGATGTCCATAACATTTTCAGAAAGTATTATGGCTCCTGAATTATTATATTTATTCTTCGCTTCATTTATGATTCCCTGCTTTAAGGAATTAAGATGTGTTATTTTTACTTTCTTGGACTTCTGATATAATTTAGTGTAATATCCAAAGATTTCTGTGGAAGAAATTACAAAATTTACACATTTGCACTTAGTATAATGTAGTGGCCAACCATTAATATTACATCATTAACAAAACATTACCACAGAAAGCAAGCAAGCATCATACCATATGTTGCTTTACAACAAAGACAATTTATCATTTCTGTCCAACTTGTAGAACACATATTTACACATAACTACAGAAAGACAATACAGTGATGTTTTTGGATAAGAAGTAGCAGTAAGAATTTCGAAATCATTTTCAGCCTTGAGAAACCTTTCAGTGTTTAATAAACAAGGCAATATGTTAAACAGTGCAATTACATCTAGTGTGTTCACATGCATGTGTGCCCATGTATCAATTAAGCAAATGTTTGGCTGTAAAATAAAACCTTGCAACTCTAGCAATCCAATTTGTGACATTTTCCCCCCAGCAACTCTTTTTCACAAAGTAACTTTTCTATCTGCTTACTGATTACACAAAATATGACTTCCATCTTCAACACTTCTCCCAGGAAAGGGAAAATGCATTTGACTGTGTTTTAAGTATCATTTTTCAACCTGCTTTTCTATATTTACTTGGTCTAAAGACACTCCAATCATGTCAGTTTTCTCTGGTCCTTGTAAATAACATATTTTTTCACCCAGTAATAAGGATAAAAGGAATTCTGAAGATATTGAACATATCCTTTGATACAAATTTATCATAATTTGGGACCAGAATTCTCAAATAAGTTAACCTACTAATAGCAATCATGGATTCAAAAATGAACGCAGTTGTAACCAGTCGTTTAGCAGAGGTACAGGGTAAAATCTCTCCTAGGAAGCACACTTTATAGATATCTATATGAACTTTAAAAACAACTCTGGTACTTCATGTGGTCCCAACAGTGGAAATATGATTAGCTTCTTGTTCTAGATAGCCTGCTCTAACAGGAATGCTACTGGAACTTTCACACTGTTCATGTGTCTTTGGGGAAGCGGTTTGTTCTTGAGGTTTCCTGTTCTCATCCGCAAATCCCACAGTCAGACTCTCCCCAGCAGGGGGAAGTGGCCTCTCCAGATGAGCCACTTGTTTCCTTGCTTCCATTTCTTGTTCATGAAGCATCTTTTCCACTTCCACCTCAAGCTCCAATGCTTCCTCATCAGCGTGCACGTCCAGCTGCTGCATCAATTCCTCCAGCTTCTTGGCCTTCCGAAGCTCATTCTGCTGTATGATCGTGCAGAGATGCTCGGTGAGTTGCTCTTTGAGCTCAGTCTTGCGCTGTAAATCCAGCTTTGCTGTAACGTACTCTGCCTCAGCCCTGTCAAAACGCTTCCTGTAAAGAGAGAGGCAAAAATGGACCCACTGGTTTTCCATCGAGAATATGCAAAGTGGGGTCTACAAATCATCACAAAATGCTAAAATCGGGAAGGAAATGCATAAACAAGCTATGAACTTTAAAACTGTAAAAATACTCATCTACCTCCTACACAAGATTATGGCTGCTGAATCCATAGTCACCTAACTTAAAAAAATGATTCCACACTTATTTCTTCTGTCCAAAGCTGTCTGAATTCACTTGTGTTTGCTTCAGGAGGGGTGGCAGCTTTGACTTTGATTTTTTTTCAAGATTTACTTATGTATTTGAAAAGCAGAGAGAGGGGGACAGGGGCCTGGCTACTTGGACCGTCTGTATGGGATGCCAGTATCACAGGCAGCAGTTTAACCCACTAGGCCACAATGCAGCCCCAAAAGCTCTCATTTGTAGCATTTTCCAGCTTCTATGATAGAAACACTAGTACCTGGTCAATTTCAACCTAGCAATAGAACCGCACAGACAGCAGAATTGGGAAGGGATGAATACACTGTGTTCTGATGGACCAGTGTCGGGAGCTCCCACCATACGACTCATCCAATTTATAAAGGTCAAACAAAATGGAGAAAGCAGAAAATGTGGTCTCCTGGGAACTGATTAGAAAAACAAATTAGAAAAATGTTAAATAGAAAAGGAAACTTCAGGATACATTTAGCAGTCCTAGTTTTATTGACAATTTGAGTCATAAAATATTGTAAAGACAAGCCCTGTTGATTATAGGATACTAACAGCCTCACTGCCTTTTGCTTACTAGCTACAAGTACCATCCTCCAGCTATGATGATGAAAAGAATACCTGCAGATATGGTTAAGTGTCTGGTAAGGTATTAAAGTGCTCTCAGTCGACAACTCCTTGGTTAAGAACATTCCCTCACTATTCAGAAACAGACTAATGCTAAACTTGTATTTGAAAATTTCGTGTATTTACACATAATCTCTGCTGATAAGTAACACCAGTTTGGTTTTAAAAAAGGGCAATTCTGCTGAAGAAGTCACTCTTCCTTTTTTTGCTTTTGCTTTGGGTTGGCACATTAAAAAAAAATCAGTATCTTTCTAATTTTTTTTTTTTTTTGCTTTTACCCTGCTGTTGCTTTTGTTTCTGCAGCAAGAAAAAACGGGGTGTTAATTCTTCCTCTTGCAAGAGGTTGGTTCCATCTGCCAAATAAGTTCTTTAATTTAATTCCCAATGACACTTGCTATGACCAAGATTCTTGCCTGGTACAACTGCCTGCATCAATTCAATGTAGCTACTTTCTTGTGTAACAGTTACAGCAGTAAAAACAAAACCAACCAATCAAACAAACAAAAAACTGGGATATTCTTAATATAAGATTATCTGTCTTAGAAGGAAACAGTTAAAAAAAATTAAACTCCTTTTCAAGATTTACTTTTATTTATTTGAAAGGAATTACAGACAGAGGGAGAGAATCTGCCGTCCATTGGCTCACTCCCCAAAATGCTGCAATGGCTGGAGCTGGATCAGCATGAAGCCAGGTACCAGGAGCTTCATCGGAGTCCCCTATGTGGGAGAAGGGGCCCAAGGACAGGGGTCATCCTCCACTGCTTTCCCAGGCACATTACAGCAGGGAGCTGCATCAGAAGTGACATTCTGATGTAAACTGCCACCCATAAGTGCTGCCAGCCCTGCAGATAGCAGCTTAACCACTGTGCCATACTGATGCCACTTCTCCCAGCCCCCAATAAACTTGATGATTTTAGAGAACTCAGGTTTCAAAAATTTCCTCCATCATTTACTGCATGCACTGGTTTTGGGCATTACGTTTTCTTAGATGCAAAGAACAGGCATCTGTTTAAGCTAGCTCAGGTTTTACCTTGTGGGACAATTTCACAAGGCTCTTTTCTTCAGAGCTTTAAAAAGCCAAATGGGTTTTTCTCAACTGAGCTTTTCATTCTACCCACAGCCCAATATGGCCACCAGCTGTGGCTGTAACTCCAACTCACCCCACTCAGTCTCTCAAAGATTCAGCTCTCAATTCCAGAAGGAGAAGCTGCGTTGGCCTGGCTCATCTCCGTTTAACAGAGCTTAGTGTCAGGGGGTTGAGCCACTACTTAGCTCCCGGATTCAATGTCCTGGAATCAGTAGGATATCTCTGTCTCAATCAGGTGTGCCCTGGCCAGCATCATGAGCACAAAACAGCTAGGTTTCTATGGATACGGTGGCAGGAACGTAGTAACTGAAGCCTCTTGTCAAGTGACCCTGGGTACTTAATTTCAGCGGTTTACATGGCCTGCCTAAACGCCCGTGAGGATAACAACACATCACAGGAGTGTTGAGTATTGAACAGTACCCTGGGCGGGCACCCAGCCCACTGCCTCACAGGTACTCAAGGAACAAACTCCTCTACTGAGCATTGGGAAAAAAACGTATGCTGTTATATTAATTATAACAATATGCTGCTGGAAACTTGAAAACTTAAAAACTTTCACAATGTTCACTGACAGTATTTCAGTTTGACTTAGTAATACAATGAGAAAACTAGATTTTCAATAGCTATGTGCAAAGAATTATTCTAAAGGAACTCTGTAGACTACCTGAATCCTTTATTCACATAATTTATACAATATCCTGCTTATGGATAATTCTTGCATCAAGCCAAGAACGCTGGCAATATAAATCCTGCCCCTGTGTAAGGCTGCTCTCTCTCTCTCAGTCAGCAGACATCACAGACCAGGCCCGTGAATACTGTATTGAAATTAACATTTGCAAATAGGTCCCTGGGTTTGCATTCATCTTTCATCCTGGATAAATCACTGAAGACTTTTGTATTTTGTTTATTTATTTAAAGTCCTTCTGGCCAGAAACATGCACCATCCCTTCTCGTGCAGAGAGATTTACGTTTACAATACCGACGGGTTTTACAAACGGCATCTGGGGTCAGGTGGATAACAGGGGGCAGAGCCAGAATACTCTGCAGCAGGATAAGTGCATCACAAACAGCACAGTCAGACGCACAGCGCTGGAAATGTCATTAGAGCATCGCTTTCTTTTTTCAAATGGACACTGAAAGATTTAATGAATGTTATTTCAAGGATTTTAGAAAAAAACGTCTCCTGGTTGGTAACCCACAAGTTTTAAAACAACTAAATCATTAACCTTCAAAATACCATAAGGTTCTATGGATCCACTTTCAGTTCTTTTTCTGAGCAGTTCTATTTGTACAGATTAACAAATCAGGATTTTTATCCCTTGTTAGAAGTCTCAAAAATCAAAGAGAAAATTTACTTTTTAACAAAATGTAATGAATTTGGGGCCTGGCATGGTGTCTAGCAGCTAAAGTCCTTGCCTTGAACACACAGGGATCCCATATGGGCGCCGGTTCTAATCCCGGCAGCCCCGCTTCCATCCAGCTCCCTGATTGTGGCCTGGGAAAGCAGTCGAGGACGGCCCAAAGCCTACAGACCCTGCACCCACGTGGGAGACCAGGAAGAGGTTTCTGGCTTCAAATTAGCACAGCTCTGGCTGTTGTGGTCACTTGGGGAGTGAATCATCGGACGGAAGATCTTCCTGTCTCTCCTCCTCTCTGTATATCTGACTTTCCAATAAAAATATTAATACATTTTAAAATATATATATATGTATAATGAATTTTATTTTATAACTAGTTTAGATGAATTAAATGGATACTTTTATTTACCTAAATACAACAGAGGATAACAGATATCTTACTTTTCTTATATTTTCAGATATTTTGTCATCTTATCACCTTAAGAATAATTTCTTGATTCTTCATTTAATCATTCCCCTTTGGGCTTAAAGAGCCGAAACAATAAGAAAACAGAAAATGATACATTTATTTTCTCTTCTGTGTTAAAGTACCCCAAGCCCTCAAGCAGGTACAAAAGGGGCAGATTTTGTGGTACTGGCAGGTTAAGATGCTCTCTGGGGGTGACTGCTTCTCTTATTAGAGTGCAGGGTCCAGCACCAGCGACCCTACTTCTGAACCAGCGTCCTGCCCTGCGGCCTGCCAAGGCAGCAAATAACAGTTCAGCAAGCACTTGGGGTCCTGCCACCGGTGAGGCCTGGTCGAGCTCTGGGCCTCCCTGCCTCGGCCCGGCCCACCCCAGCTGCTGCAGGCAAGTAAACTGCAGACACACAAGCTGTTGCGCTGTGCAATTCTTGCCTTTCACATAAATAACTTTTTTTTTTTGAAGTTATAAAAAAACCTGGAAATGGCTTCATTACTTGTTCTTAGTTTTCACTGAATACAGTTGAGGATAGCTTCTTCATTTTTTGCCTATAGACACAGTAACAAAAAAAAAAAAAAAAAAAAAAACAATCAGAGGAAGACATTTTGCTGCTGTTGTATAATCAAAAGGAAGGTTATGGAAGGCTTAAAACAGCCTCCTGAAGATATCCAGTTTCCAGGTACCAGAACTTTATATATTACTTTATGTGACAAAACAGTGATGGAAAATTTCTCTCCCTCTTCCTCTCAGTGTAACTCCACCTCTCAAGTAGATAAAATAAAACTTAAAAAAAAAAGCATCCTTCTCCAGTTTCTACTATGAAAAAAATATTAGTAAGGTTATATTGCTGTTATATACCCAGCACTGAATCTTGTAGTATGTGGTCATATAAAAGGCTAGCAAGGCATAAAAATGCTCCTCCAGCTAACTTATGTTATGGAGAATAAACGTTCCAATGGCATTGGGAGAGGTTCTGGTGGAGGAGCCTGGGCAACTTCTCTGGCAGGACACAGTCCCATGCAGGTAAGCGCAAGAAGCACAATAGGGAACAACCCAGAACAGGCAATGAAAATTATCCCACTGGCATACACATGGCATGGGTTGGGGGCAGACCAGCCTGAATCTGTTCACATTACCTTCTGGTGAATCCGAGCACCAGAACAGAGTGTGGGCCGAGCCAGGTTCGGTTGCAACACATACCAGTACACAACAAGTAATGCCAAGGTGAGATGAGCTGTACCAGATGTGGCTGCAGCACACAACCAGCACATGTGACAATCAGGGAGGAGGCAAAGCCAACAGGGGAACGTGGGCACCCCTGCTGGATAACTACTTCCATTGGAAAGTGTGAATACGGATGGGGGCAGTTCAGACTAGGCAGGGCTATAGCACCTGTGGGCCTCACGGTGAGCTGACTGTTCTGACTGGTGCAAGTTAAAATTAGAGTGGGTTGAGGGGTGTGTTTGGGCTTAGCCACAGCGTTAGCTGGCAGAGGCTGGTACTAGGAGCCAATTCTGACAAGTCAAATGCCAAAACTACCTGGAGACGGCATACTCTGGGAGTGGGTGTGACCTAGTAGGGAAATAGTGGGCACCTCCCTCAGGGTTACCACCCTCACTGGACAGCATGAAACCCAGGCTAGGAGCAGGGGTGGCTTGACAGAAAGGCACCTGCCAGTGGGTGTATGGGCTGGATAATAGGTTGGTTGGGTTGAACCAGGCTTCAACGTCCATTGACGTGTGCGAGAGCTAATTGGGATGTGGGACAGACTGGACAAGCCTGCAGTGCATACTGGCAAGCATGGGAACCAGGGTAGGGGGCAGAACTGGTAGGGGTTATGGGGAGTCGCCCCAACTAGGCTGTAGCTCCAACTGGTTTGCATGAAGACCGAGTATGAAGTGGGTAGAATCGAGCTGGACTACAACACCCATTGGTTCACAAGGAAGACAGGGCTGGAAGCCGAACGGACCCAGCAATCGCAACGACCAGCATATGCATAAGCTGATTGGTGTGACGAACAGTGTTGGAGTCTGTACTAGCAAACTCACTCAAGAATCAGATCTGGGATCAACTCAGATGAAGTTTCTTTGGATATTTCTCGAACTGAACTGCTGATCTTGGAACCCCAACCATCAAGAGACTGTCAGCCAGTAGACTCTGAATAGGTTTCATTACGGTTGGGACGGAGAGATTGGCAGCAATCCAGAACTGATTGAACTATCAAAACTGTATGAGCAGGACCCTTGGAGCGCGCCTCATGTTGGGGATCGGGGATGAGTGGGAGGTAGGGTGGGGCTTTCCCCTTTGTTACTCCCCTAACCCTAGATACAGGGCAAAATGATTATATTAGTGTGGAAACAATGATATTACCCACTTTCACCCTGTAGCCCGTGACCCTTTGTACCCTAATAAACTAAGATTATTGAAAAAAAAAAAAAAAAAAAAAAAAAAAAAATCAAAGCTTCCTTTAGTCTTGATATCTTGGTTACCTCCTCAATGGCCTTATTAATAAAAGTCTGTGACTTCTGTTTATCAGCTACTGATGGCATTAGTTTAGGCTGTTAATTAATAAACGCAACTCTGATAGCACATGGTCACACAACAATTTCAACAGTCACAAGGACAACCACAGCTTCTTTCTCAAACGCTAAACAGGGAATTACAAACCACAATCAAGCATTTCCTCTTTATTAAATTGTTATATAAACATTCTGATGTTGTGGTTTACCCTGGACTAATGAGGCATTCTGATTGATTTCTAGTGTTACAGAGAAAGATGCAAAACTGAGTTATTAGCACAGCATTCCCTTGTGAAAAAAGACAAACCCGGATGATTAAAGCAATGTTGAGGGGACCAAAAACCCTGAAATAGGACAGAGTTTTGCCCTTTTATCTGTTCGCAAAGTCCATGTAATTCTTTACATGTGTTACTCCATTTAAAAACACTCCATGAATTTTCTTCCCTCTTTGAGAAAAATGGCAGTGGTTAAAACCAAGAAAACATGGGATATCACACTATTTTGTACACAGTATGTCTGAGATGCAAAAAATAGAGAAAAAGAAAATACAAGTTCTTAAGAGAGATACTTTTGAAATTTAAACTTTAAAAAAATTAACCTAGATCTCAGATAAATAAAAATTTTTTAAAAAGCTAAATATTTTCACTATGATGCAAACTAAAGAAAGACCTTGACTCCAATCTAATAAAAACCATATCAAATAACACAAAAGTTTAACGGAAACAGCACACATTTGGTGATAAGAATAATAAACTTTTAGAGGTTAAGTCACTCAGACATTCACTCTGATAAATTCTGAGATATTAAAGAAAAAAGTCCAAAACATCCAATTTTTGATGGATTGCCAATAAGCGCTAAAATATAATGCAAGGAATACTTTAAGAGACATATGGACAAGGTTAGCTGGCAGAGTTAAGGGAAGCTTCACGGAGGAGATCTGAATTGGAACCACAGAGAAACAGGCCTTGTACCACAGAGACTGGCTCGGAGGCGTAAGCGCTGATATACAGCAAAGCTATTGGCCCAGCTAGCCAGCAGATTCCTCGTTCTGAATGGAATTTTCTCGACCTACCGGGCATGTGAGTAGTCGAGGCTGGCCTGGTCAATCCGGTTCCTGAGGATTCCAATGTCAGCGGAGACCATGTCATCTAACGCCTGTAACTCCTTCTGGATCCGCTTCAGTTTCACAGTCTCTGCCTGAGTTCTTTTAGATCTAGAAAATCAAGAATGTGAGGGGATAAAATCAAAAACATGTATGTCAAAATCATGTAGCCACAGACCATGTAAGAGAAAGGGGAAGACACTGTGTATTTACGAACTGTGGAAAATTAGAAAAGCCAGAAAAACTACACAAAAGGCTGATAACATTCTGATATATCTCTAATAATGCATCCGAGCACCTCCCCTGTATTTTGTCCAATTTTCTATTAGCACCTATAATTTTCACAAACAAGGTAGAAAGAACGAAGAAATTTCCCCCATTCACCTGTGTGCATTCATCATTCAATATGTTGGAACAAACTCTAGAAGAAATATGTCTCAATTCTCTTTATATGGGCATATTCAGCAAAGTTTCCCGAAGAGGTCATCTTAAATTCCTCTTCTTACTAAGCCTATTTTCATTCTGATATTGTCAGACATTCAAGAATGGATACCAAGGGTCTACACTGTGGCTCAGAGGTCTAAGCTACCAACTGCTACGGTAACATAGCATAGGCTTGACTTCCGCCTCAGATCTGGTAATGTGCTCGGGAAGGCACCATTGGACTGACTGGCCAAGTACCTGGGCCACATGGGAAAGCAGAATGAAGCCCCTGACTCCTGGCTTCAGACTCACCCCCACTCTGCTGTTGAGGCTGCTTAAGGAGCGAACCAGTAGATGGGAGATCTCCCTCTAGCTCTGTTCTTCTCTCTGTAACTCTACCCTTCAAAGACACAAATCTTACAACACAGACACCTATATTGAACATTTCTTTATACAACTGAAACTTCCACTTGGCTTCTTTGGAACCCACTTGCCCAAACTTTGATTGCTGTTACTCTTTTCTCAAAACAAAAGTAGAGGTCTTCAAAACTCTTTATGAAACACAAAACCAAAACACTGTTGTCTCTCTGTTTCAAAGCACGGCCAATCTCATCAAGTCCCAAGCCCTCACAACTGCCAAGTACAATATGCATTTAAGAAGGAGAATAAGTAAATACAAAAGAGAACTTTTAATCAGGATTTCAGTTATTTCAAAATTCCACACACATTCTCAAGGGAGAACAAAACTTTCCACATAAAACCACTATATTGCTTCTTAACAATCTCCTGGCTTCTACTGCATTATGCTTTTATCCTTTCTTTCTGTCAACAAAAGTTCCTTACCAATATAAATCTTTCACTGAAGCACTTCACTTCCTATCTCTTTAATAAGCCAATCATTAATTTCCTTACATTTCTGTCCATGGTGACGCTTTCTGTCTTAGGTCAAAGGCCCCTAGTTAAGAAGTACTGAGTCTGCACATTTTTTTTTTAAATATAAAATCCTCAGTAAACACCCTCCTAATCTTTTCCAAATTGAACACTACTACAATGTTTTTTAATAACCACTTCTGGGAGAAAAAAAAAAAAAGAAAGCATCACTTTTTTTTTCCCTTGAAATACATACATTCCTTTGGCAGATAATTCTGAATTACTTTTACATCCATCTACCTTTCTCTACCTTTGCCACTGCAACTACACATATTTTAATCTCAAAGAACAGTTTTGCCAAACTTTTGCTGGTCTAAAAAGAAAACGCCTTTGAGTATTTACCTGCATTTAGTTTTCACTACTCTCAACCATTTCTTTATTAACTAAGCTTAAATTTCTATGGTCATAGGAGATGAGAAACTACAAACCAAGGGGTAGTGAGTGGGTGCAGAGTGTCCTACGTAGAAGGGCTGGTGAGCCAGGCTGGCAGAACACAGTAAGTGAGAAGGGACTACTGACAATGCTGACATTGAGGGATGACGCAAGAACTCAGGGTTCCCAAGCTTACATCTGAAAGTCATCAAGAACAGTTTAACTAGATTATGCATCTTCTATTAACGGAGGCAGGATAAGTCATGTAAGAAAAATATCCACAGAAAACAGAATTTAGACTTTTCGACAGTGTTAAGTCACATATAAGGGATAACCTTACTCCTCTAACAACAGATCTCCAAGGCCAGTTAAATTGAAACCTGTATTTGTAGCTAATGTACATATATTGATAGCTGTTAACTGCTTTCTTTCTGAATGTGTTGACAGTTAAAACTGAAAACACTGAACATGATCTTAAGGGTTTTTGTTGTTGTTTTGAAGAATATTTTATTTATCTGAAAGTCAGGAGTTGCAGAAAAGAGAGAGAGAATGAAATTCCCATCAGCTCATTCATCCCCCAATGTCTTCAATATCCAGGCTGAACCAGGAGCCCTGAGCTTCATCCAGGTCTCTTACATGGAACACGTAGGCCATCATTTCCTGCTTTTTTCATTAGCCAACAGCTGGAATGAAAGTGCAACAGCTGTGACATCAACCAACACCCACACGGGATGATGGCATCATGGAACTTTACCCTGCAATGCCAACCCCAATGTTTAATCCTTATTGGCAATAATGTGTGTGTAAATTCAGTATGATCTGTGCTTTAAAAGTAACCCCTTCATAAATTACTATTAGAATTTCAGTATTACTTCTAAAGCATAATAACTTGCTTAGTTAGCCTTCCACATAATGGTCGTAGAGAAAATGAACAGGTGACATGACAGAATTGATCACAGGTTACAGACATCTCCTGCCTCGAGTGCCTCACCTTTCTGCAATAGCTTTAGCCAACAGGGCTTTCTTACGTTTATTTTTCTCTTCCATTAGCCGTTGTTCTTCTTGGAGGACTTCCCAACGAGATTTTTCTTGCCTAGGCAGCAAAAGAAATATAAAAATGAATTCATTAAAAAGACAGCCACACTATCCCTCACCTTGCAATCTCAGGCCCTTAAGTATAAAATTTAATCAAGCAGATCACGTGCATTTTCTTTCAAAATTCCTCTTAAAAGAAATCCATCCATCTGCAGCTCATTATTTTGTTCTAATAGGAACAAAGGCTCTGATCTGAAGAGGCTTACACATATTGGACCTTTGAAATGCATTTTATGTATATAATCTAGGAACCCACAAACTAAAAGCCAGAGTACTATGGCATTTTCTTAGAAGTACAAAGACATTTGTGTAAGCTAGTTATGCATTATATGCAAAATGGCAATCAAAGCAAATTGGACGATAGCTGATGTCATAGTATACCTTCTAGTGTTCTACACTGAGAGGTTCCACCATCTTCAATGTCTTTAATAAGCAATGTTTGCTTCCTGCATTTTCTTTCATTGGTTCACTTTTTCCCAACCCTTCAGAGTTTCTAAATGGATTAGAACACTGGGCTAAAGCCAAGTAGAGCTATGCTAAAGAATACCTTCAACGGTTTCAAAGTACACATTCTTCCCAAGTCCAATTCTGAAATACATTAACATTTTCCAGTCACAAGCCTGATGTCCAACAAAGTAATAGTCAATTTTACTAAGTATCTATTCTGAAAGGTAGTGACCGCTTCCTAACTGTCCTTTGCTCTCCATTCCTGCTTTCACCTCAGATTTGGCACTGCTGGCTTCTCATTTTCTCTACTGCAGGCATCTCCTCAGCAGGTGCTTGTGGTCCAGCTCAGTGCACCCTCCCAGGGATCTGCAACATTGATGCTTGGAATTTCTCTAGCAGTTATGTTGACTGGGACTGTTCTTCCTCAGAAGGCTTGGGTTGTGTGTTGGATCTGCCAAGTCACCAAGCAAACAACTTTTGCATTGAAGCTCTTCTCGACTTTTTAATTCTCTATTCTGTCATGTGCATCTTCCATGGAAGTGAGTACTCTCTAGGTTATGGTTTTACTTTCCCCTTCTTAAAAGTTTAGAATTTCTCCTGTGCATAATGGCTGCTTTGATTATACGTATCCTGCAAATATTCTTTCAAGTATCTAACAAAACAAAACACACAGGAAGGGCACACTTGGAATATCGGCACCCACATCGGGAGTGCCCAGGTTTGAGTTTTGGTTCTGCTCCCAGCTTATGCAAGCAGATAACTGCTGAAGTATCATTGCCACTCTTGGGAAAGACTTAGCTGGAATTCTTGATCCTCACTTCAGCGTGGTCCAGCTACAGCTGTCAAGGGGCATCTGGGAAGTGCACCAGTAAATGGAAACTGTCCCCCTCTGCCTTACAAATATAATGAAAATAAGCATTTGAAAATGTCCAGCTAAACTCCTCTCTCCTGATAAGCTACTCTCATCAGAGTTCTCAGAGCTCTGCTGATAAACTACTCTTAAAAGAAATTTAGATGTATGCACTTGTCCAACATTGGCTTCCTAATGCATGTGGTTATATATTTTTGTCAAATTATTTCCTAAGCATAAGCTTCTGGTAGTAAGAGACATTAAAACCTCAGAGTACAGAATCTAGACCAGTAGAGGTTCAGAAAATATCTGGGATTAGACAACATATGACACTTCGGAAAAGGCAAAACAGAAACAACTGCCATTGCTTTTCCTCTGCTTCTCCCATCAGAACTCACAAGTCAGAAGGGCAACTTCTAAAGTGTGCTGAAAGTAAATCATATAGGCTCTTTCTAATCTCTACACACTCACTCTCCTCCCTCAGCTGTAGGAAGAAGGAAAAGAAATTGTCTCAAAAACAAAAAAAAAAAAACCCGATGTCTGCAAAAACTAACGAAGAGAGGGGATTACAGGGAGGAATCTGAGAAATGTGGTTGTCTCCTTGGATTTGTATGGAATGCATGAAATCTGTTCTCTGTACTTTGATGAAAAGTGTAAGAGCCTCAAAAATATACACACTCAATAATTTTTTTAAAATCTACTGATGCAATTAAATTCCTATATTGTCTCGCGTGACATCTTTATCGGAGCCTTTTACTGGGCCAATGAAGGTACAGTATGGAAGCTGACAACCCATTCAAAGGGGAGAGCAGTGCTCCGCCTGGGAAAACTGCCTCTGGGGTGTCTAAAGGACAGGGCTTGGGGTCACTTTCACATGAACGCGGGCCCTACACTGTGGCCTAGCTGCTAAAGTCCTCGCCTTGAACACGCTGGGATCCCATATGGGCACTGGTTCTAATCCTGGCTGCTCCACTTCCCTTCCAGCTCCCTGCTTGTGGCCTGGGAAAGCAGTCGAGGATGGCCCAAAACCTTGGGACCCTGCACCTGCGTGGGAGACCCGGAAGAGACTCCTGGCTTTGGATAGGCATAGCATCGGCCGTTGTGCTCACTTGGGGAGTGAATCTTTGGACGGAAGATCTTCCTCTCTGTCTCTCCTCCTCTCTGTATATCTGACTTTCCAATAAATAAATAAATCTTAAAAAAAAAAAAAAACACTTTCACATGAACGACACTCTCCACTGCCTAGCCGTATGTTGGCTTTAAGAACACAGTATCCTCCCTGATTCCCAAAGAGTTTATTTCTAAAGCAATAATAATAATAATAATAATAATAATAATAATAATAACAGACATGAATTGTAAGGCTCTTGTGAAAACTCAATGAAATCAATTCTTCAAAAGTACCTAACAGAGCCTTATGTGTTACAGCAAATTTTCAATAGTTCATTCATCATTCTTCTAAACTTCAAAACAGAACAGAAGAGATGTTAAAAAAAAAAAAAGAGAGAGAGAGAGACACTAAATTTTATTTTCTGAAAGCTCAATGGAGAAGAAAACAGCAAGAATAAAAGAATCTCATGGACATATAGACTTACTAACAATTCCACTGTCTTTTTCTCCAATTTGCATTCTGCTTTGGGAGGTAAAACCTCAACATTCTTGTGACCATCATGGGAATTTTCAAGTCTGGTTTCCCTTGGTTGGCTCTCACTAGGCAGAGGTTTTGCAGCGCACACGGGAGTGGTGTGGGTGAGAGCGCTGGGAGGAGGGCCCGGAGCAGGTGCTTTGCGAGTGTCAGGTCTCTGCTTCGGCGCAGAGAGCAGCTGCTCTGGAGGTGACGAGGCCGAGCCATCCTGAAGACCAAGTTTTTGGCTTTGCTCTAAAACAGCTTTTTCTCGCTGAAGTTGCTGCCGACTTTTCTTCACAGGGACACGCCGCTGTGGCTCAAACGGATCTGCAGGAAACGGGAAAGAGGAGCATTCCTCCGTGTGAGTAGCACATAAGGACAATTTCTCCAAGGCAACAAAGCACTGACATACCTAACTCTGAGAATAACTCTGGCGACCCCTCCCTCCCTCCACCACCACCTTCTCCACCTGCCACAGCCAGGGAAAGGCAGCCAACTTCCTACAGTTTCAAGAGTTCTCACATTACAGTGTCAACACTGAACAGAAACTATCCCAAATCTCTATCTTCAATGGAAGGCCATTTGACTGTGAGTCGGGGCTTTGGACACAAAGCGAGGTTTCTTTTTCAACCTGATTCAATAACTATCAAAAGAACCAACTAATTGTGACTACACACCGTAAACGCTGAAGTATGATATATATATATACAATTCTCCTTTCCTCCTGAAACAGAATGGTCGTTGAGTTTTCCAGAGGGATCTCCTCCAATCATAAGTTTTAGGGCAATATGACACACAGGCATGTACTGTGACAGCAATGTCGCTGAGTAAAGTCTCTTATTTCTAGGAAAACTAGTTAACCCCAAATAATTTTCTTTCATCTTGTAGAGCACCCACAGTTGCATCTGTCAGCAACTTATCAACCTCTAATCAAAGTACGTTCAAACTAATCTTAATGTTGTCCACAAAAAAAAGCAAATAAAGGATAACCTAGAGTTTATACTCCAAAGCACAATTAAATAATATGCTTTATTACTTTTTAGACTTCCAACGCCAGTTAACCTCGTACTTAGGGTCACAAATGGAGAATTTACTCTCACCCACACTTTATTAAAAAGGCCTATAAATAGCATTCGCTATAAATGCCTAGGAAGGGAAATGGAGATGAGTTCTTTTTCTAAGTTCTGTGTGTTACCCTTTGGCATAACACAAGTTCATTATCTAGATGTTTTAAAAGCTCCTGACTCCCAGTCTCAGCTTTGCTTCCGTCAGCTCAGTAATGTCAGACTAGTTCATCACTTAGTGTCTGTTTTGTCACCTCAAAACTATTGAAATGACCTGTCCTACTTAATTCTCAAAGTACAATAATCAAACAAAACATATACAGAAAATGTTAAAAAAAAAAAAAAAGTTAGGGCCCTATATCGTGGCCTAGTGGCTAAAGTCCTTGCCTTGAATGCACCAGGATCCCATATGGGTACCAGTTCTAATCCCGGCTGCTCCACTTCCCATCCAGCTCCCTGCTTGTGGCCTGGGAAAGCAGTTGAGGATGGCCCAAAGCCTTGGGACCCTGCACCCGTGTGGGAGACCTGGAAGAAGTTCCTGGCTCCTGGCTTTGGATAGGAATAGCATGGGCCGTTGTACTTACTTGGGGAGTGAATCATCGGGTGGAAGATCTTCCTCTCTGTTTCTCCTCCTCTCTGTATATCTGACTTTCCAATAAATAAATAAATCTTAAGAAAAAAAAAGTTAATGCTATCAAAAACAAATGCTATTGCTGACTTTACCCAGAAACAAAAGATCCTCCTATATCCCACAACACACTTCTTCGTGGCCACTGATCTTTATTCACAAAATTAGAAAATGTCACTGAACTTGCCTACATCCCAAACAAATTCACTGAGTTATTAGCCATTTCCTTGCAAATTAGTTCATACAGCTTTTATTTTGCATCTTTATAGAACATGCGATCAAATTAAAAATTTTTGCTCCACTCAAAATCCAGACCCTTCAACAGAGAACACAGTGTTTACATGTTGTGTATTGGGGGCTGTAAAAGTCAAGGACCATGGCAAAGTGAGGAGCACACTGTCCTTCACATCACCTCCGTCATCGCCAGCGTCACTGTCAGTGCATCAAACCTAGCGACTATTCATGATTAGTAGTTACATTTTTGAGCCTGGCACTATAGTGCAGTGGTTAAATTTCTTGCCTTGCACACGCAGGGGTCCCATATGGTCACCGGTTCTAATCCCAGCAACCCTGCTTCCCATCCAGCTCCCTGCTTGTGGCCTGGGAAAGTAGTTGAGGACGGCCCAAAGCCTTGGGACCCTACCCTGCACCCACATGTTGGAGACCCGGAAGAAGCTCCTGGCTTTGAATTGGCTCAGTTTGAAGAGTGAACCATCAGATAGAAGATCTTCCTCTCTGTCTCTCTGTCTCTCCTCCTCTTTGTATATCTAACTTTCCAGTAAAAATAAATAAATCTTTTTAAAAATAGTTACATTTTTATTTAAAACATTTTTATTTTAAGTAGGGAAGTGTCAATTAGGAAAAATCTGGACTACTGTAAGGTGGAAACAACTCTAGGATCTCACTTGTTTTCAGCATCAATAGCTTATTTCTCAATAATATCAACTGAAATGAGCAAAGCGGCCGTGGTAATGAGTCTCTCAGAGCTCCAGACTGATTGCACAGTTACCATGTGGCATTGGCCAACATGACAAAGGGCACAGCGAGAACTCGGAACAGTCTTGTCACAGCTACTAACTGCTCTGACGCAGTAGTGGCACTACCCTTCTATCCCGTTCACAGGTCAGTGGCTGACCTGATACACTGCCCTACCCCAAAACGAGGGTCGCCGGCTAGTTTGGAAAATATCACTAATGATTATCACCACTACTAACTTAGAAAGTACCAAATTGAATCAAAGAAGGAATGAGAGAGAAGGAAGAAGGGAGAAACCTTAAAATGAAACACATTTTTTAATTAAAAGTAAAGCAAAGGACACCAGTTTGTGATCTTTGCTCTAAATCCTTTGCATAAGCCTCGCTCCTTCAAGAAAATTACCATTTCCAATATGTGTTGGTCATTCTCTTCCTTCTCTAACGGCCACACTTTATCTACAAATTATTCCTAAGATTTACTTATTTGCTTTAGCATTATAAGACAGGTGTCACACACATGTTTAAACTTAATATTACATAACCAATATTCACCCACAATGGTCCTTCTGATTCAATCACTCATTCTGAATGTTGTGTGACATTCCACTGTCAGAATTAACTACAGTCTATTGGTTTTTCCATTGGTGACCTTGGCTCCAGGCTTTTGTTTCTGTGGAATATGTTTTTCTTTTTAATATTTATTTATTTATCCTTATTGGAAAGGATATTCCACTGCTTTTCTAGGCCAAAACAGGGAGCTGGGGAAAAATTGGAGCAGCCGGAATGCCAACTCCTGTCCATATGGGATGCTGTGCTGGGAGATGGGACTGGCCTGCCCTGGGATTTTGCTCTTCTGTCCACTTCTTCTTTTTTTTTTTTTTTTAAGATTTATTTATTTATTGGGAAGTCAGATATACAGAGAGGAGGAGAGACAGAGAGGAAGATCTTCCGTCCAATGATTCACTCCCCAAGTGACCACAACGGCTGGTGCTGAGCCAATCTAGAGCCAATCTAGACCAGGAAATTCTTCCAGGTCTCCCACACAGTTGCAGGATTCCAAAGCTTTGGGCCATCCTCAACTGCTTTCCCAGTTTTTCCCTGCCACAGGCAGGGAGCTGGATGGGAAGTGGAGCAGCCGGGATTAGAACCGGTGCCCATATGGGATCCTGGTGCATTCAAGACAAGGACTTTAGCTACTAGGCCACCACGCTGGGCCCTCTTCTGTCTACTTCTACACATGCAAGAGTCTGCCTTCATCTAAAAAAGGAAGGGTCATCCAGTACAACCTTAGAGGAAATGTCAAACTTCTCCTAAGTACATGCTCCGTATACAAGATGCAACTACCATATACGATTCTCTCTGGTAATATTGTACTCTCCGACATTTTAATGGTTGTAAAATGTTGCATCACTGTGTTCTTGCTCTGCAAATCTCCGTACAAATATTTTGTCAACTTCTCTTTTGGCTTATTTGTATTTTTCACTTTTCAAATAGCAAAAATACAACTAAAGAAAATATTTCAATATTACTAATTATCATGCATCAGAAACGGACAAAACATTCAAGACCTCCACAGGAAAGATTCTAAATTTTATAAGAGATATTAAAGGCAACCCAGGTAAGTGGTAACATACGCTACACCAATGGTACTGTTACTACATGAAGATATTACCCCCATTCCTCCATAAATCTACATCTTTAAATAAACAAAATGACACTTTGACAAAGCAGGAGAGAAAGAAGCCGTCATTGTGCAGCAGTGAGCTAAGCCACCACCTGCCCCGTGGCAATCCCTAAGAACCAGTTGGAGACCCAGCTGCTCCACTTCTTCCCACCTCCTGTGAATGCATTAACATAGCAGGTGCTCCAAAGGCTCTGGTCCCTGCCACCCACTCAGGCAGCTAGGATGGAATTCCTGGCTCCGGCTCTGCCCTGGCCTACCCTCACTGCCATGGCCATCTGGAGAGTGAACCAGCACACAGACCTCGTTCTCCTTTCTCTCTTACTGACTGCCTTTCAAACAAATAAACAAAATCTTGGCGGGGGGGCGGGGGGTGAAAACCAAAAGTCTTCAACATCATCCAAAGAGGCAATTTTTCATGAAATCTGGTAAAATTATTAGATTTTACATGAAAAGATAAAGGCTGAAGAGCAAGAAATTTTCAAACAAGAAAAGCAGACTGTATCAGTAGAAATCATTGGTAGTATGAAGCTTCAAGACTGTGTGATATTGGTGCAAGAGTGGATGAATTAATAACAGGTTAGAACAGGGAACCCAGAATCTGAGTCACAAACGGATGAAGCATTGTGTACGGTGACAATGGCACAGCAAACCAACAGCAGAAGGTAAGATTACTTAGCCAATGGACATGCGGGAAAATTATCCGCATGGAAAAGACAAAAATTACCCATACCTTACATTATATTTATAAAAAAAACCTATTCAGTAAAGAAGAAAATTAGTATTTTGAACATTACAACAGGGACTAATTTACGATGTAAAAAATGGCAGCAATTATAAATTTGAAAATAATGTACCAGAAGTTATTAAACAGGATACAAATAACCAGCATTAGGAATAAACATCTCTGGGAAATTAACAGCATGTGGCTATCCTGCTTTTATTTGTAAGTTTTCGATTTTTCTGCATTATGAAATCCATCATACATACAATGTATGGGTGTGTGTGTCACGCACACTCTTTCACGCTGTAGAGATCCCACCCTGTATAGAGGCCATAAAAAGTAACGACACTGACAAAACATGATTGCAGTAGGCGTCACGGTCAAGGTTAGACACACCCTCCACCTTGTGAAACACACAGAACGGTATGTCATGTAACTCGCTGTTGTTAACTGTAAGTAGGACATCAGTTCCTGGAGAAAGTACGGGATCGTCAATGTTTCATTTTCACATTTTTCTTCCTGCCGTGGTGACCTCCTGAGTGACTACATAGAGCAGTCACCTGCCACCATGGAACCAGAGTGAGAAATAAGACTGTAGCATTCATATTTCAGGACTATTTGTGACTGCAGCTGAATTGGGTTCAAGTTCCCTATGCAACCGCCCTGACAGTGCTCTGTCGCCCCAATTTCCTTTACAGATGCCCAGCATGCCTGTCGTCCCCTTTACAGATGCCCAGCATGCCTGTCGCCCCCTTTACAGATGCCCAGCGTGCCTACTGTCCCACTGCTGACCTTGGGTAAATAGCATCAGACTGTATATTATCATCTGCAACAGATCTTTTTACCCAGAATCCTTAGGGAACTTATGGCTGGTTATTTCATGTGGCTATAACTAATATATTCCCATATGTGCCACAGTAGCTAACCAGGCGAGTAACCACAACTCACTTACCTGTTCTCGTTAGTAAGCACTTGAGCTCTTGACAATGTTCTACTAAGAATATTCTTTGGCCTCTTTACCCAACACACACACAGGTGGGTGGGCCGTAGGTTGTCTTTATTCCCCTGCAACCCACTTCATGTTCCTGCCTTATTTAAGTTTTTAAAGTTGGAGAACACCTTAAAGTTCATGAAAACGTGCATTATGGAAAAAAAAATTATCAACAAACGTTTTTAAAAATGCACCAAAATAACTAGTTTAAATGCCATTTTCCATACACATTTTGAAACACCTTAATGGCAAAAAATGCTAACATGTTCCTGTCCTCAAAGCGGTCACGGAGTTGTGACTTGCGGAGTTGTGACTCGTCGTCGCATTCGAAGGTCCTGTGATCGAACCACAGGCTCAGACAGCTAGGCTCTTATCACTTTCTAGCAATCCCAAACCGAGATGCTTCAAAATACAGTTCTAGCTAATACATGTGTGACTTACATTTCTTTGTTGTTTTATCTGCCTCCATCAACACACACTTCCATCAAAGATTTCTAAGCTCCATCCCAGCACGGCAAGGCTGCTGCTAGCTCCATCGCAACCTCTTGCACACCCTATTCTCCAATCATCCCCTGGCTTGCCCCCTCACTCACTAGGTGAGCAGCTCTGTGAAGGCAGGGCCCATAACTCGCTCACTTCCGCATTGCCTAAAGCAGAGGGTGACATTTGAAACCTGGAGTCAGACCCGGAAAAAGTGGGTGTGAATCAGAACATCAAGCTAGCTGGCCAGTTCACCACACACTCTGGTACTCTCAAGATACAGCTTTGCAAAGCATTCCAATCCCAATAACCTACCAGGCCTTACACTACAGACTCACTCTTATCCCACTTGCCCGTTCTAGACAATCACACATCTATGATAAAAGCGTACACATAACCTGAGAAATATCTAATTTCTGCCACTGACAAAACTTAAATAAAATGCACAGTAAGATTTAATCTTTCTCCAACGCAAAGCATTTAAATCATTGAATCAAGAGCAGTGTAAACTTCTCCCACAACGGGTGTGCACTGCCAGGGTCACGAATTCAGATCTTTAATGAAATTGCAACCACAAAGGAGCATCTTCTTATGGAAACCTTTCCACCAAGTCTTAGCAATCCTGGGTCATGAAACGACTTTAAGCAGTACAACCACTCCTCTCCCCAATGACTGCTCGACAAAACTCCATGGTTGTAGATTAGAAGAACACGATTTGAGCTTATCCCTAAGCTAGGAAAGCAACACAGTATACAATGGATTCACAGCTCATCTCCCCAAGACCTTCTGCGTCAGAAAGAAGTGCAAACGTAACTGGACAACTGGAGTGGCATACGCCAAGTGTGTGTTTTACATTTTTTGTGCTTATTCAGGCACGGGCGCGCTTCCTCTCCTGCCTGCTTCTATCAACTGTCAAAGAGTTTCAGCATGCTGTGCGCACCTGACCCGAACCCCGGAACATCCCGACCCCCTGGTCCGTGCGGCCACTCTTCCTTACAGCAGACTCCCTTCTCTCAAATCCCACTCCCTTCCGTGGGTTCCGAAAACCACTCGGCCCCAAGGAGGAGGGGAGCCCGGCAGCCCCGTGCGCTCAGCTCCTGCCCGCCACAAGCCCAGGAAACCATCGTCGGGCCGCCCACTCGTCACCTTTCGTCTGCTTCAGTCTCCTCAGCTCCTCCTCCGAGAAGCCGGCCCAGCTCTGCGCCATCCGCGCCGCTCGCCGATCCCCCAAGCGCCCCACTCGGGCCAGCCCTGCCAGCACGGCGGCCCCGGCACTTCCGGCCAAGCAGCCAGTCAGCGCGCCCGGCCCCGACCGCCAGGTCCCCTCCGGCCTCAGGGGCCTGCGCCCTTCCAGGCTGCCTCGAGCACCGCCTGATAAACTACCTCGGCAAAAGTGGTCACAGCGACAAGCGTGTCCCCTCGTTCGCTTCCGCTCGCCCTCCTGGCTTCTGAAACTTCGGATTTAACCGCTTCGGCAGAGAAACAGGGAGATGGCGGCATGAGTTAGGGAGGAGGAGAGCAGGCAGTTAGGTAGCGGCTGCGAGTGGGTGGGGAGGAGGGTGGGCGTGGCTGCCGCTGGACTCCAGGGTCAGCGCACCTGCTGGCCCGGAGTGGAGCGAGCGGCGCTCACCGGGGCGGTGGAGGAGGTGGCCTGCGAAGTCAAGGGCTTGGCTAGGACCGGGAACTTGCGGAAAGCCTTCTTCCTGTTGACTAGGGAAATGGTCCTATTGTAAAGAAGGAGAAACGTAGAAGAGGGCGCAGGTGTAACTGGAGAGAAGAGACGAGGCACACTGGACATAAGGAGCTCTGCGATTGCTTCCGCTGCTGGGCTGTTTCCTGGATGTTTGGGGGAATGCTTCACCTTGTCACTGAGTGATTTCTTAAAGCCGCTCTCCTTTAAAACTGAATGTCCGTGCTTTCCCGGAGAAGACAACCCTGCAGGCTGGAATCAGGTCTCCGCAGGACACTGTAGGGAGATGGGTTTTCTCTCCTTGCTGTTGCAACACTAACCCCACTGAGCTGCATTGTCGTCGTTTGAAGACGCGTTTAGATGATTAGAAATGCAAGCGTTAGCAGTGTGTACCAAACCGTGTGATTAGAAGAAACCAGTAATTAATTTGTTTTCTATTTTTTTCTATATTGGGAAGCAACAACAAAAAATTCTCATAGACTTAAACTGTAGTGTCCGAGACGCACCTCCTGGCTTTACTCTATCAATATTGTTCAAGAAATTGAAATAAAGGGGTACCCTGAGAAACGAGAAGCGCTTCGCCGAGAGCTGAAATTATTAACTCGGGTGCAGAAAGGTTATCAGAATGCAAACAACGTTTGTGGTTTCTCTTGTGATCTGTGGGCTTTTAAATTTGAATATTTTTTTCTGTTAAATACATCCTGACACTAGAATGCTGGACTTTATATACCATTCTCGGTACCTGCAATGTCAGGATAGATTAAATAGCAGAGTGTTGGGTTTGTGACTGTTACTGAGGAACTAAACTTATACAGTATAGGGGGCAACAGTGGGGACAAAGGAGGGGTGGGTGGAAGGGGAAGTCCCCGAGCCTAAGGAACTGTATCTTGAAAAATAAAAGAATTCATAAAAATAAATGTAGGTGTTTTCTGAGATTTAAGATAGATCATTTTAAATATAGACTCGCTTTCCGTAATATTCTCGAGTTAACATCCTATCCCAAAGGCCTGGGGAATCTAGTTACAGTGTCGAAGAACCTTGTGAATCTGAGTGTAATTGTATGTAGACACTGTTCTTAGTTACCACAAGGTGAATTTCAATTATTTTCAGTGATTTTATGACATGATCGGTAGAGGCATTGATAGAAAAATCTAGAATCGAATTGTCAAGGTGTGTTTAATAGTTTTATTGGGAGTCTTTTTTTAATTTGGGAGTGGAGATGCATGTCTTCACTTCCCAGTATGCCAGTCTCCATATATCATTCATCTCCATAGAAAATATGCATTGACTTCCGCCATGTTACCCTTAATCACAGAATGTGGACTTGTGACTGTTGCTGAAGGACTGTTGCAATACTACAGGGAGACTGGGGGATGGGTGGGGAGGAAGAGGAGGCAAAGGGGAAGTAGGAATCCCAGTGCCTACAAAGCTGTAGTATGGAAAAATAATAACAACAACAAAACACACAAAAAAAATGATCAGCAATTTTAAATAGATAAAAATGATGACATAGTAAGAGGTATTGCGTTGGTCTGAGTAAGAAACAAAATATGAGCAAGATTCAGCAAACCATACAATCCATCTGCATCAAACTCCAGTTCCCAATATGGGAAGTTCAGAACCACCAGCTTGCTGTTTTCTGTTGCTGCCCCATCTTCACATGCTGTGCCTAACAGGAGCTTCTGTTCAAAAACGGACTGTGCGCAGTGAGAGTTCTCCAAAACCAGGCTTGACAGGACATCTGTTAGGCTGGTTTCCTAGTCTCTAGATGTTTGAATGAATTTAAACCAGATTTAATGTTTTTCAGCTTGTACTATAAATTTGAACTCCACCCACATATGTGTAATAACAGGCCCGAGATGTTGGTTTTCTTAAAGTGAAAGTGAGTGTAAATACGATAGAAAATGTTATAAAATATTTATAATATAAAGTATTACAGAAAGCAGGTCCCCACACTGCTTTTGCAGCTGAGTCTGAGTTCTCTGTAATCATTGTTACATCGCATGAGTAATGATGTTCTAGTTTTTTTTTTAAGATTAATTTATTTTTATTGTTTGCAGAAAGGAGGAGAGACAGAAGAAGATCTTCCATGTGATGATTCACTCCCTAAGGGACCTCAACGGCTGGTGCTATGCCAATCCAAAGCCAGGAGCCAGGAACCTCCTCCTGGTTTCCCACACAGATGCGGGGTCCCTAGGCTTTGGGCTGGCCTCGACTGCTTTCCCAGGCCATAAGGATGGGAAGCAGGGCTGCCAGGATTAGAATTGGCACCCATATGGGATCCTGGCGCGTTCAAGGTGAGGACTTCAGCCGCTAGGCCACTGCGCAGGGCCCGATGTTCTAGGTTTTATTGCAATTTCTTTAGCACCACATGGGTCACTCACTGGCATCTATTCCTACATGAAGATTCTTGATACTCTGTTTTCACCACTTTAGTGACGCATTGGTGTTTTTGTTGCCTGTTCATTAGCTTCACCTTGATGAGAGTTTACTATTTTTCACCCCATTGTGGACTGTGTACACTGGCTCTGTATTTAAGGAAATGCGTAATCAAAATGTAACAGAAACCCATATGCCCAGAGGTGGAGACAGAGAGCAAGCAGTATGTCTCTATGCATACAGAACAAGGATGGACCCCCAGTGAAACGGCTAAAGATGTCCGGATAGTAAGATGCTGGATTCTCCAACATTGTCTATGTCTACACTGTCGGGAGACACTCCAGTGGCAGCATGATGGATTTATGAATCTTCCTGAAACATACCCATTATAAAGCTAAAGAATCAATCAGTGGGGAGGGGAGGGAACTTGGGGAGTGGGACAGGAAGTCCCAGTGCCTGCTTAACCGTATCATAAAACAAAATAAAAAAACATTTACCGCTGAAGCAATCTGGTGTTTTTCTTTGTGCGAAAGTGTTATTGTATAGAATTATTCATATGGTTTATTTCTTCTTGTGACACTTTCGTCATTTTTCCCCCCTTTTATATTTGTTTTTATTGGAAAGGCCGAATTAGGATTATAGAACTAGTTGACTTACGCATCTGTCAGTAACAATACATTGGCTTCTTCCTTGGTAACTCTGTGCTGAAATCTGCTTTTTCCTTTAGTAGGTATTAACATCAACACATCTTTTTTTTCCTTTGAAAAGTTACAAAAGTTGCATTTCCTTTGTTAACATGTTGTTTCTAGTCTCCGGGGTTATTCGGTTATTCGTGATTGGCTTGGGATCATACTAAACGTCTACAACTCTCGTCACCCTCCCTGAAGGTAGTGTTGTTCCACATATGATGTGAAGTTCGTATAGATGTTTTCTTCTATTTATTTTCTCTTGGTATTTACAGTACCCCTGTTATACATTTCACTTGTGCATGTCGTAAAATCCACACGGTAGTATTGTTTATGTAGAAACAGTAATCTTTTATAGAGATTCCAATAAGAAACTACTCATATATATTAGTCTGTGTAGATGTGTAGGCATCATTTCCTCTGCTTTGCATTCCTCTGTACAGCTGTTTCCATCTGTCTCATTTTTCTCCTGCACGAAAGATTCTTGTAGTAGTTATCAACACGCAAGTGTGCTAATGGTAAGTTATTTCAGCTTTTACTGATGAGAAAAAGCCTTTCATTTGTTTTTGTAAGACATTTTATTCGAATCTGACATTTTTCCTTTTTCATTTTCTGGATGTGGTTTTCCACTGTCACTCACCTTTCATTATTTTTGATGAGAAATCTGCCATCATTCTCATCTTGTTTGTTTGTTTTTGAGCTTTTTATACTTTGCCACTATTTTTAAGCTTCATTTAAAAAAATAATTATTTAATTGAAAGGCAGAATGGCAGCAAGAGAGAGAGAGAGAATCTTCCATTTGCTGACTTGACTTCCCAAATGGCTACAATGCTCCATCAGTTGGTAATATACCAAGGACTGAACAGGTGGGAATAGTCATTCTTGCCCCTTCGTGAGTGTTGTGCTTTCTTCTCTCTGATGTTCTCATGTGGTTCTTTCCCTGGCCTCATGCAGTTTCCCCACTTGCTTGTGTTGATCACTACATGAAGACTTGTCAGAACTCGGTGCTGACCACTCTGGCCACTTCTCCAGGAAGTTCTCTCCTTTCTGGTACTTGGCTGTGAAAATTTCAGTTCCCGCTTCCCTCATTCTCTTTGCATCTTTACTTCATCATAACAAGGGAGGTCTTCAGGGTTTTCCTGACCCCTTTTTCTGCAGTTCAATGTCCACAGGTTGCTGTCAGATCAGGAATGTGGAGAAATCCTGGAACTTGCCTCATGTTTTCCAATTCCTAGAAGTCATCGAATTGCCCAAGAGCCTGTGCCTTGAAAACCATTGCTTTATGTGTTCTCTTCATTTGGATTGTCTTCAGAAGGAGCATAGATTCAGTTCTGGTGACTTCATTTTCAGTTAAATATGTCAATGACAGTACTATTTTATGATATTCACTTACCAACAGTTGCAGAAGCATGCAACATTATGATGCATTTTACCTTAGTAGCAGTTGTCAAAGTCTTCTGTTTTTACTCCTGA